TCCCAGAAGCGTGCCGCCCAGGGTTTGCACGACGGAGGGAGCCCAATCTACCCGTTGCGCCGTATGTCAAACGGAGAACAACCAAGAGCCCTGTATGATTCCAGATATACTCCTTCAAAGCCGCAATTTCCAGAGGATTGGTCCGCCCATCATACGAAGCACTGTATGATTTAAGTGAACTCTCCTTCAATAAACGGGTCATGGGCTCTTTGAGGGCCTTCATTCTCTACCAAACTGCAGGAGTTCATTCTCCTGACAGCTGCTTCGGCTGGTCTCAGCACTTCGGCGCCACCAGCTTAGGGGTTCACGGGTTTGGGGCTTGGGGTTTAGGGTTTAGGGTTCGGAGCTTTGAGTCTAAGATTTAGGGTTTCGGGTTTGGGGCCATGGGGTTTAGTGCTCAGATCTCGGGCTCCAAGTTTCTCAACCTCTCAAGTCAACCCTCGAGGGCTGATGGCGACGATTCTTGGCGTGACCGTTGAAAAGAACTCTTGGCTTGCGCAGCCCCTGGAAAACACTGTCGCAGTGAAGCTCTGCTGGCCCCGATTCACAGGCTCCGTGGGCTCTTAAGGATGAGAGCTTCATGGGCTCTTAGGGATGAGAGTTTGGGGCTCTCAGGGATGAGAGGTTGGGGAAGCTTCTAGCATCTTAAGCCGTAGGGCCAAAACTTTCCGGCTGATTCGAAACCGATGAGACCGAAAGCCTCGACCCTAAAGGTTCAGGCACAGGGCGCGTTGGTGCGGCTGAAGCATATAGAGGCGAAGCAAGAATAGGGTTTTGGGTCCCCTTATACTATAATTGTAATAAAGACCCCCCAATAGCATTGGTAATTATTTAAGGCCCTATATTATTCTCCACACCACCCAAGAAGCGCCTTCCGACTCATTTTGGAAGATGTCCTTCCGCGCTAGGGACGCCCTTCCTCCCCAACCGTAGAAGGCAGAAGGCAGAGACTCTCTACCGTTATCTTTGTGTTCCTGCCTGCAATTGTTCATCCCATTCTACTTGCTCTTCCTCCCTCTCCCTATCTTCCCTAAACCCTAAACCCTCTCCCCAGCTTCCTCTCCTCTCTCCCATCCCGTCGGTCTTCGGCTTCTTGCAAGGGGATTCCTGCACTGGATGCAAGCAGTGCCCCAATCGGCAAACCCAAAGACAACTGCAAAGCACCTCAAACCTCTGTCTCTGCCTCTTTCGTTTGGCCAAACGAGCTCATAACCTGGATGAAGCCAGACGAAACACGCACCAAGGACAAAGGAAGCAGACCGGAAAACGCAGCAACGCAACAAAACGACTCCGAGAGAGGACGAGCTCCGCCGGATTCTTTCATCTCTTTCGTGGTGAGAACTAAAACCATCAAAGCTTGTTTTTTCAAACAAGGGAACGGTAACCGTCGTACATAGTCATCCGTATTCAGCACGGACCGTGCCAAAGCCTGCAATCAAGAAGAGCTACCATGACGGTCATTAATGCCACTAGCAGCACCAGTATCAGCAGGACAATGACAAACACCACCATCATCGTCCTCGTCATCGGCATCGTCCATGGTGCAAATAGCTCGAATGTATATGAACGACATACGGCAACAGTGAGGGCAGTACAACAACTATACTGGAATGCTTAGGGGATCCTCCAACCGAAAACTACGCTTGCCATGCTGAGTAAACCATCTACGGACAACTGTAAACGTGCAAGCCCCTCAAACCTGTTCTAGAAACCCATAACAAGTGCCAGGTACTAGTTAACAGGGGCACGGAGTGCTTCGCTCGGATCCTACCCATCCTGGCACGACGCGCGCTCTGATTCAAACGCCAAGGCCGCCATTGTACTCTTTGCAAGTTCAGGGGATTGCAGGACTGGGCTTTTAAATAACCAAGGAGAAAAGTATAAACTTGTATTTCATACGTAATTGTTCCTTTGAAAACAAGTATTAAAGTAGGGTACTCCAAAGCCCAGCTATGATTCCTATCTGCCAGGTCCTGAGGCTACGGACTCTCAGGCGTGAGGCTTTCAGCTCCCTAGACCGCAAAAACACAAAACCCTAAACCACGTAAGTTAGGTGCCCCCCCCCGACCCTCACAAGCAACAGTTGACAACGGCGACCGTGGCTGCCGGCGCGGCATGGGAGAGACTGTCTGGAGCACTGGCGCTCTTCGAGCTCGATCGCAGTCGAGCTCGATCGCAGTTTACGGTCTAGGGCTTAGGGTTAAGGGGGGGGTGAACAACCCGGTGTGAGTGAGAGCTTGGGACATGACGCTGAAACAAGGCCATTGTCATTGAGCATTCCGAGAGATGCCCACCTCTACGACTCTACGAAGTGTACAACTGGTTTTACTTAAAATCCAACTTTGTGATTCCCAGATTTGATCAACATTCCGCATCCGCTCATTCGGCTCAGCCACAGCATGCTGGTGCACATACGCACACGATGCATACTATTTACCACTCTGCATAGTATGTACAGCAGTGTATATGTGTGTGCATGTGTACGTGTATGTACGTTTGCATACATGTATGTGTGTGTATGCATGTATGCATGTATACATATACACATGCATCTATGCATGTGTATGTATATACATATGTATGTGTGTGTGTGTGTATGTGTATCTATACATATATATATATATATATATGCGTACGTGTACATATGCATGTATTTACATGTGTACATATGCATGCATGTGTATATGTATATGCGTATAACATGTGTATGTATATGCATATGAATTGTATATAATTATGCGCGCACGTACACAAACCAGCCAACCAAACAAAAAAACAGAAACAACCAACACAAGCAAAGCCAAGACAAACAGAGCACACACAAACACCCAAGCAAACGAACAAACAGAAAAAAACATGCATGCATACTTGCATCTAAACAGCCATCCACCTATCCATCCAATATGCATCCATCCATCCATACATGCATGCACCCATATATGCACGCATGCATGAATACATCCATACATGCATATGTAAGTACAGACACGCATAGGTACTTAAAGACTTTCATAAACACGATCTTTCTTTCTTTGACTATGTCGTTCATCTCCCTTTCATGAAATCAAGCACTCCTGCGTTCATCGAACCATTTCATTCTCTCCTTCCTTGCTTCCTTTCTGGCAGTCGGCCTGTCAGTCGGCCAGACATTCGTTCATTCATTCATTCATTCATTCATGCATGCATGAATGCATGCAATCATTCGTTCGTTCATCATGGATCATTCTACACCGTACCGGATACTACAGACTGCTATGGCGCGGTACTTGTAGAGCTGGGCCTCCATACAGTACCCTCGAGATGGGCTGCGGGCACCGCACCAGCAAAACGTTGACGTGCGCTGGCTTCGCGCAGGTCCAAGAGGGCTCTCGTCGGACAGATCTGTTTAACCATTGTCCAAGTCCTCCCCTTTGTGAAATCCTATAAAGCAAACCCGTAAAGCCCTATAACCCTCATAAAGCGGTCTTAGGACTCAGTAGTCAGAGCGATATTCTGGTTTCCGCTGAGCTTGCAGCACTGTGGGCTGAAATGACACATAAGCATAGGTCAAGACAGTACTTCGTGTGCCCCGGATCAGGGCAACCAGAGGTCTCAGTATGCATACCCAAGCCGACCGCAACTGCAAGCAGCGGTGGAAAGTCCCGTAAGCTGTAGTGATGACAGATGTTCAACACTTCTTGCTGTCCTCGGAGAGAGCTCTTGTTCGGGCTTCCATTGCACATCTGAGCTGCAACTGGGGTTAGGGTTCGAGGGTCGAGGCTTTTTCATTCACATCACATGCTATGCGGCTCAGACCACCGTGGAGCGCCAAAAAGTCAGGAAGCATGACCAAATCTGACAGGGTGTTTTGCAATGACTGGTACGTAGGTGGTAATTATTCAGGCGTCTATGTTAACCCCAGCCATGCTTGCGGGCTTTTCAGCCTTTAGCCAGGAAGCTAAACTTTCAAAAACCCCTAGACCCTGAACACCCGAAACATCCTAAGCAACTATCCAATCCACTCAGCCCCAAGCCGCATGCAAAAGAGCGAACCACTAAGCTCCAGGAACACTCCTAAACCCTAAACCCTAAACCCTAAACCCTAAACTCCTAAACCCTAAAGGCTAAGAACGACCTTCGATCCGAAAATCCTAGATCCTGAAGCTCGAAGAACTCCCCTAAACCCTGAACCCAAGACCCCAAGCTTTAAAGTGCTTAAGAACGCCCCTAAGCCCTAAACCCCTAAAGCTCTTAGGAGATACCCAGACCCTAAAGCCTAAAGCCTAGGGCTCTAAGAGAACACCCCTAAACCCGAAGCCCTTGGCCTAAAGGAGCACCGCTAGACCCTAAACCCTAAAGCCTCAAGCTCTAGAGCTCTTAAGAGCACCCCCCAAGCCTGCAAGGCCTCAAGCTCTAATATAGACGCCTACCCCAAAGCCTAAAGCTCTAAGAGAACACCCTCTCAATTACCTATACTGTGGTACTATGGGCCCCAAAACCCTATTCCAATTACTGAGGCCCCCATAGTAAGAGAACACCCTCTCAGTTATGGATCCCTTTAACGGAACCCCCCCAAAAATAGTACAGATACTTATTGAAGCCCCTATAGTAAGAGAACACCCTTTCAGAAGATGGAGATCCTAAACCCTAAACCCTAGACCCTAAACCCTAAAACCCTAAACCCAAAAAATTGTATAGATGATGGTAAGGCCCCTCTATTATAGAACCCCTTCTAGTACCCTTATAGATCCCTTACTTATAGTACCCTTATAGTAATCCTTATAGGAACCCTTTAAAGGGAACCCTTTTGGAACACCCTCTCAGAAGATGGCGATCCTAAACCCTAAACCCTAGACCCCAAACCCTAAAAGAACACTGAGAACACCCTCTCAGAAGATGGTTTCCTTGATATGAACCCTACTATGACTATTGATATTACTACTATGTTAAAAGTCCTTATTATCATTACTGTTCTTATTATTATTATAACCATTACTACTCATATTAGTAGGTGCACCCTCTCAGAAGATGGAGATCCGGCTTCGCACGGAGCCCCGGCTCTGGTTCATCAGCGGTGGCAGGGGCGGCAGAGACGGAGCGCTGCCGGACCTTGGGGGTGTTTTAGGAGGGTTTAGGGTTCCTTTAAAGGGTACTCTAAGGGTTCCTTTAAAGGGATCTACAAGGGGTTCTATGTTTCGGATGTCGGGTGTAGGGGTTTGGGGTTTAGGGTTAAAGGTTTAGGGTTTAGGATCTCGGATGTAGGGTTTGGGGTTTGGGGCTTTTTTTTTTTTGGGGGGGGGGGTTCCGAAAGCTTCGTGTTGCCACGGTTTAAGGGTTTCAGGATTTGGGTTGAGGGTTCAACGTGGAGGATGTAGGACCGTAGGAGTCAGGGTCTTCCCAGGTTGCTCGTGGTTTGTTTTAAGAGGCTTCGGAACAAGACCTCAACGGTTGGTAGTTTCGGAGTGCAGCAGTTCGGAGTCAAGCGTTGAAGGATTCAGTGCTTCGGGTTTGGAGGGTTTCAAGTCTTCATCGTTCAGTCTCCAACGAAACTACGTCTGCTAGCATGTCATAGCCATGTTTTCAACTCTCACACTCACTGCCATAGTTGCAGCTGCATATGTCATGTCTGCGCCTGGACCCCTGTATCTCCAGCGCCATGTGGGTGGTTGTCAAAATTATGGTCCCTTTTGGGATCCTCGATACAGCACGGCACCTAATATTTTGGGTACCCAAAAAGAAGCCATAATTTTGACAACTACCCATGTGGACTGCTCCTGCGCAAGGACTCCGTCGATCGCGGATGGGCTTCTGCCAGGCTTCCCAGTCTCGAGGATAGCTCTGATTCTAAACCCTGGACCCTAAATAATAGATACCCTTATTTAGGTTGGGTTTGGGGGATCCTTTAAAGGGATCTCTAAGGGCTCCTTTAAGGGTTCCTGTAAGGGATCTATAGGGTTTAGGGTTTAGGGGAGCTTCCGAAAATTAGAGAACCTGATTTTGGGGTCCCTATACTATAGTAAGGATCCTACTAGTCAGGGTGCTACATTCAGGTCCCCTGTTTTCGGAAACTCCCAAATTACACAAACCCTGCTAAGGGTTGGGTTTAGGGTTTAGGGTTTGAAGCAGCAAGACTCCACCAGCTTCAGAATCTTTGTAGGGGTTAGGGTTTAGAGTTATCCAAAATAGAGCCTGAGACTCTTCACAAGAGCCATCTTCCAATCCTAATTCCCAGATGGGGGCTGACTTGTCCTGCCAGGGATTCATGCTTATTTGCCTAAAGGAGACTAAAGCATTTGACCAGTGCCCTCCAAATGCCGTTTAACCGTTGCACAGACGTCTTAATTCACCCGGATCCCGATACCAAAGCCTTAAATTCAAAATTCAATCGCAACCCAGAGCTTTCAAGCCCTAAAGCTGTCATCTGGACAGCGAAGAAAATCAATGAAATGCTGTATAATCGAATCGAGAAGAAAATCAAACCCTCTTTAATCGACACGAAAGACGGAGAAGCCCTACGAAATCGCTTTAGGCTGTTTAAAGCGAAGAAAAATACGTGAATTCCAAACACACGAAAAAGGACAAGCCCTAAACCCCAAAGAAGACCCACCCTTGTCGAAATCGTATAGACTTCTTATAGAACCCCCCCCTTGCCTTAACAACTTACAGGAACCCAAAAAAGATGGAAAGCCGAGGCAGGTCTGCCCGGCGCCCCGGCGTGCGCATGCCCAATGGCACGGGCACAGATCCGCCGGCGCCACCCGCACCTGTGCATCAAGCTAAGCAGAAGAAAAGGGTTTAGGGTTTAGGGCTTAGGGCTTACAGGGCTTAGGGCTTAGAGTTTAGGGTTTAGGGCTTACTTGGAGGTTCATGGGTAGTTATAATTGGGGGTATAAGTCGCGTAGTATGGGCTATAAGTATAGTTACCCTACTTATAACCCCACTTATGACTAGCCATGAACCTCCAAGTAGGGAAGAGAAGTGAAACACTATTGAAATTTCAAGTCACATAATGGCAACATGATGCCTGAGGCTTATGGGTATGGGGGCTTAGGGTTGAGAGCTTAGGGTGTACGGCTTAGGGTGTAGGCTTGTCGGCTTTGCAGAAAAGATCATGCAGAGAAATACAGACAAGTACATGTACATGTATACGTATCCTATATTGTATGATGTATATATATATATATACATGTGTACATTTTCTGACACATACATATACGAATAGATAGGTATGTACATACTGTACATATAACCCGTACCTTATAAAGCTAGAGGAAGCTACAAACGGAACGGCCTGAGTCAATCAAGTGTGTAGCCAGAATTAGGGTTTTGGGCTTCGGGGCTGGACACGCTATTGGGTGGCTCCGCGTCCTTCGCACGCTGCATCGAAACCTCGATCTTTTTGCATAGTCCGGAACGGTCATTCTAGAAGCCTTACTTGCAGCAACCCTTACAAGTATGGTAGAGTACTTTATTGAAGCCTCAAAGGAACCCATAAGGCGACGGATGCTGGCTCGATGTGATCAAGTAGGAGAGAAGGCTGTCGCCGGAGCATGTGATACTTCGCCCAAGGGCCCACATGAGAAGCACAAATAAAGACCTCAGTCCACATACCCCGCGAACACTTTCAACACTAGACTTCACCCTGGACCCTAAACTTAAACCCTGAATGCTGAACTCCGAAACCAGCGCTCAAGCCCTAAACCTTAAACCCTGGACCCCTAAACTCTAAACCCCTAAGCCTAAACTCTACTGTCAACCCTAACCACTACTTGAAGGCTCATGGGACGTAGTGAGTAAGGTTATGAGTAGGTTATAATTAGGATAACCCACTTAGGGCACTTATAACCCCAACTATAACCTACTTACTAAGTCCCATGATCCTTTAAGTACCCCTCAAGCCTCCCGCCGCCGACCGGGCCGGTGAGACACTGCGGGCGCCGGGCCGGCTTAACCTCGGCAGTCTTCTTTGCTTGGAAGACTTCTTCGGCTTGGGGTTTAAGAATTTGTTTGGGGTTTAGGGTTTCGGGTGAAGGGCGTTTCGGGTTTGGGGTTGAAAATAAAACGTAACGTTCCATTCTGGGAATCAAGGGCTTCGCTAAACCTGGGGACGCTTCTTGACTTGTGCGTTGAGGGGTTGTGAGGCTCGGGCTTTAGCCTTAATCTTACTTGGAGGATCATGGGACTTAGTAAGTATGGTTTTGAGTACTTTAATTGGGGTTATATTTATAGTTACCTGAATAATAACCGTAGTCCATGATCCTGTAAGTACTCACTCTGGTTGCAGTTTCTTTCATACTTGGGACTTAAGGAGGGTTTAAGAAGTTTTGAAGTTTTAGGGTTTACGGGCCCCTTATAGACCTCTTTAAAGGAACCCCCAGGATGGCCCCTATATAGATCCCTTATAGACCCCTTTACCAAAGCGTGCACGCTCCAGTATCCAAGAGAGCCCCGTATACACCAAGCCCATCCAAGCCCGAACATACAACCCTATACCTGTGACAGATCTTTATAAACCCAATGAGGCTAAAAAGCCACTTACTCAGAGACTAGGTTGATACAGGGATGATGTTCCTACCTGGACCTACCTCTCCCATTCTCGCTCCCTGCCTCTCTCCCTCACCCACCCTTGCGGAAGCAAGACTTCAGACTTCATGAACGCGAACGACTCATCTTAAAGCCCAGGGACGCCAACAGCCCTAAACCTCTACTCTAGGGGCCTTACTGCAATACTTAGAATAGGGTTTTGGGGCCCATTATACTATAACTATAATAAGGAACTCCCAAAAAATAGTACAGGTAAAATTCTTAAGGCCCCCCCACAGTAAACCCAAAGCCTCTCCCAGGGCGCCAGCGCAGGGGTGGTGAGTGGTAGTGGCGTTGAGCTATGGGAGTCTGGAGACGCCTGTGCCTAGCCAGGGCGCTGCCTCTGGGGTGTGGGTTTAGGGTTTAGGGTTTAGGGGTTTAGGGGTTCAGGGTTTAGGGTTTAGGGGTTTAGGGTTTAGGGGTTTAGGGTTTAGGGTTTAGGGTTTAGGGTTTAAGGTTTAGGGTTTAGGGTTGGGGCGGAGCTGCCTGAAGTTCCAATGTACCATCCCTTCATGGGAGTTTACGAAAATTAGGGGTACCTTCTTTTAAGGGTCCTTATAATCAGGATTCTGGTATTTAGGGTACTAGATTAGGGTCCCCTGTTTTCGGAAACTCCCTCATAGATACATCATGCTACAGGAGCTCCAGCGGCCTCGTTGTTTTAGGGCAAAAGTAAGTCGGGAACCCTATATACTAAAACTGTAGGTCGCTGTCTGCGGATTTGTCACGGGTTACGGTATGGAGTATGGAGTTCGGACAGTCTGCCGAGTGTCTTCTGGCAAGTCTCTGTTGTTCAGTGCTACTTTCGGAAATGCGGGGCCTCATTGGCTAGTTTGCTCATGTTTCTGATTATTGACCTTCTCCTTATGTTTCCAAAACCGCAGGCCCGTGTTTTGACGCGCTCTGTATGATTACGATCATCATTTTCATTATTGTAGGAACCTGATTCAGAAACCCTGGGCTTGTAACCCCAAAATAGTAGGGTTCATATAAGGGTTCTAATAAAGGCCCAAGGCCTCTTAATCAAAGTTCCTACATTAAACTCTTCCCCTAAATTCAAACTAAACCTTATGATTCCGATTCAGCATTCCACGGTTTCTTAATCAAAGTTCCTACATTAAACTCTTTCCCTAAATTCAAACTAAACCTTATGATTACGATCATCATTTTCATTCTTGTCGTTGCGGGCAGCTCAGCTCCAAGGCTGGACCTTTCAGTCATCCAAAACCTCGGTGCCGATGTCATAAACCCGAAGGCCCGCGAAAGCATCGGGAGCAAAGCCCCAAACCTTCACACCCGAAGGCCCCGAAAGCATAGGAAGCAAACCCTAAGCTTGAATTCTCTAAACATTGATGTCCCATTTAAACTTGCATGCCCGTAAGACATACGAAGCAAAGCGCCTCTGGATTTCGCCGGTTTGCATGCCGGACAGGGCTTCGAACGTAGCCGCCGTCCAGAGGTTCCTTCACAAACGGTGTGGAAACTCAGACTACCACTGGTTTATACTAGGGCCTTAGGGTTCAGGGTTTAGGGTAGGATGTTCTAGTCTTGCTACATCGACTTCTACCACTTCCACTACACCGCCCACTGCCACCACGACGACGACGACTACGACGACGACTACGACGACGACCACCACCACCACCACCACCACCACCATCACCACCACCACCACCACCACCCACCACCACCACCACCACCACCACCACCAGTAGTACGTACTACGACTTTGTTAAGAACTGCTTGGGCACCGAAGACGAACATCAAGCTGGAATTCCATATGCAGCAAGCCCAAACAAAAGAGCAATGGACGTTCTACCGCTCCTCATGATTTGTGGATGAGGCTTTAGGTTCTGGGGCTTAAATGAATTCAGGTATAGTTTGCCAGTATGGTGGATTGGATATGCATGGTGGGTTCGCCTGGCCTCGGGCCAACTCAGAACGGCTTAGAATGTTGTTACGGTGTCATTATTCCAGTGTCATTTATTCCAGGGTGAACGTTTACGCCGTTTACGGGCTGCACTAATTATATAATAACGGCTTACCACTGGACCCTTGCATGGCAGGGCTCAGGGGCGCAAATAGCCTAGTTGCAACATGCTATTTTCATCATCTACCGCGACAGTCTACCATAGTATACCAAGCCACATCCTATGTTGTGGTCGAACATTGCTGTGGCATAAGACTACTAGGACTCATCTCCTGCACCCTATACCCTAAAGCCTGACCCACAAGGATTCGGACATCGCTACATGCTGCCGTCTAGTCTATCCAAAGCATGTGCCTGAATCCTTCCCAATCATTCCGTTGTGGCTCAAGGCTGTGAGTTTTGGGGCGACCTGGATTTCGAGTGCCAGGGTGTAGAGGCTTCCGGGCTTTGGGAGAGCGCCGGGTCCGGGATTTTGACGTGCTATAGATCCACCCTAAACCCTAAATCCCTAAACCTTAAAGACCTTAACGTTAAACCGTAACGCCTCAACCCTGACCGTACATCCTAAATCCTACACTCTAAACTCTGAACCCCAAAACAGCAAGAGCGCCCGCGCCTGGCCCTCTATCCAGTTGGCTCGACACCGCCTCTTCCCACGAAGTCGCCTGGGATTTTGGAGTCTGTTCCGTTTGGAGCTTTCCCCTTTCGGAGGCCTCAAAAGGTGGGATGAAGGCAGGTGGGATATTCCCAAATGGTTGGGTTTCGCGCTTAGGGCGTTGAGGTGCAAGTCTTACGGATAGTACCTGGAAAACAGCTAATGGTCAAGGAGACACTCTTCAATCCCAACCTCACCCCTACTTCCAAGAGGCCCCTACACCCGGAAACCCTCAACCCGGGAACACTGAAAGCTTAGACCTATACACCCAACTTAGACCCTTTACAAAAACTATAAAGAATGCTTAGCTGTTTCTCAAGGATTATAGAACAAAAAACTAAAAGCCTGTTTCTAAGTACCCAAAGATACAAGCACTACCCTGCGAGCCTTGGCCCCAGCACCCTGCCTACCCAAATTCCCAGCAGCCACAGCTGAAAGCGATTTAGGGTTCAGGGTTCAGGGTTTAGGGTTTGCATCTTATATCCTATTCCGTCAAAGCCCCAAAACCAGAAGCTCTAAACCACGAAGGTACCAACACCCTGAAACCCTACAGACCCTACACCCAAAATACTCTACAAGGTCCCAAAGAATGAACTTCGCACACGGAGATAACCAAAAAAAATGTCTCTGTAAACCCAAAATAAAGCATGAGCTTCGCACACGTCACACACGGAGGATCGGAAACCGAAGCAGCCGAGCCTGTGATCATTGCCATGGTCATCCTCGGGTCCTTCCCAGCGATTTGGGGTTGTGGGTTTTAAGGGTCGGTTTAGGGTCCAGGGGGTTGAAGGTTTAGGATTTGAGGTGTAGGGTTTAGGGTATAGCTTGACTTCTCTCGTTTACCCGTAGTATGGCTCTGATTGCTGAGTCTTCGTTTGCCCGGTCGTTGTGGCTATTGCTGCGACTTCCACGACGACAGAGATAGAAAAACAACGGCGAGGACTGCTCTACTCCTCCATTTGGGGATACTCTGACCACGGCTAGTGTGTACCCCCAAGTACGCACTAGCAGTAGCACTACCAGCACCACAGCGAGGGCGAAGACGAGGGCCCTTCTTGTACTACTCCCATTGAAGACTACTGCTGCTACATCGAGTCTTGCTTCTGCTTCTGAAGCGGACCCCCAATACCTAAAGCTTAAACCGTGGTAACCCAAGACCACGACACCCTTCCGCAACCCTGGATCTTTCTAAATCCGAGTCTCAAACACCCACCACCAGAAAGGCCTTGTAGAACCCTTATCAAACATCCTCCAAAACCTAACCTCTACCTTACCCGATGACGCCCTGAAAAACGTCTGTCTAAATTCCCACGAAGCCCCTTAAGCCCTAAACCTAAACCCTGAACCCAAAGCCCCTAACCCTAAGCCCTCCACCTCCCAAGCTTTCTGCCAGGGGCGTCTCGTCGATCTCCGGCAGCCGTCGCAGCCACCCTTTTCAGGGCTCTTCTGAAGGGGCTTCATAACAGTTCTATAGGGTTGGGGGGTAGGGTGTGGGGTTTAGAGGTTGCAGCGCTTCACACAAAGGCCTCAGAGTTTTGAAGTGGTTTCAATCCATAAGGGGCGGGAGTTACAGGATGTTATCAAGGGTGTTGTAATGGCTTTTTAAGGGAGCTACTATGACCAGGAAAACATAATATTCATCTTGGTACCTTGACTTTAGGTTCCTTTAGGAGCCAGGATCAGGGGAACCCTTGGGGAAGCAGACCCTTTCAATAAGATCCCCTTTAAGAGGACAGGCAGAAGTAGGGTTAAGAAGGGTCCCCCTTCAAATGGAGTCTCCCTAATACTACCTTGGAGCTACTGCTACGCTAGGCACTACACCCCGCCACCACTGCTACAATCGCCTCCAAAACCCACCGCGCCTCTCGGTGACTCCAGCGGCTCTGGCATGGCGGCCTGTCAACTTTGAACTTCAGAGCTTGGTTTCCTATTCGAGGCTTCGAGAGTTTCAGTGACTGCATCATCAGGTGGGTTTTGGATTTAGGGTTCAGGGGTTTAGGGTTTAGGGTTTAGGATTTAGGGTTTTGGAGTTGGGGTTTAGGGTTTTGGATTTGGGGTTTAAGGTTGAAGCCTGTTCGTGAAAAAAGCGGACACCAAAGTCTCTGTGCTGTTCCGGAAGATGAGTACGGCACGCCAAACGCGCAAATCCTCAACCCAAGATCCCGTTAAATCCCAATCCCCTAACCCCCGAACCCCTAATCATCCTAACGAAGCAGGCCCGAAACTCAGCCCTAAACCCCGAAGGCACAGCCCTACGCCCAACACCCAGCCACAGTCCCTGCCTTCACAGAGGGCTCCTCCACGACTGCCGACATGGCCGGCCGCTTCACCGGATCCTGGCGGACTTTGCGCTTCGCGTTTTCAAGCGGCTGTTCATGGGCCCCAGCGTCGAGCTTCGGGGTCGGGGGCGTCTTGGGATTGGCGGTTGTCGGGCTTTAGGGTGTAGGGTTGAAGGTTGGGGTTTGGGTTCGGGCTTACGGCTAGGGAACTGTAATCGTACTTCTGGCTGGTACTCTTTCTGATTCCCAGTCGTACCTGATATGTTGAAACGTGCGGAAAGAGTTACTTGGATTGCAACCAGAGTCACTTAACATGACAGATGCAAAAAGAGCCACGTGTGGGAGAAAAGCCCTGCAGCCCAAAACACGGAGGATCAGGGCTAGGGGCTTATCTAAAACCTTAAACTTATACCGCAAAAAACGCTAAACGGACCTCTTGCACATACCGTGCCGAGCCCTTGTCGTACCCTTGCGGCACCCTTACAAAGCCCCTCTCACAACCAGAACAAACAAGCATCATGTACAACTATATAAGTCCATTAACATCTACACATACCTATGGCCCATTGCCCATGTAAAAGATATCATTAGAACCCAAACTCCCCCCAAACCCGAAACCTCTAAACCCACAGCCTCTCAAATCCTAAACCCACATTTAAAAACAACCCTCCCCCTCCCTAATAGAGGATCCCTTAAAGGAACCCCTAAAGGAACCCTTAAAGGATCCCTTAAACGGATCCCTTAAAGGGACCCCTTAAAGGGATTCCTTACTGCAAAGGATCCCTTAAAGGAACACCTTAAAGGGACCCCTTAAAATGATCCCTGAAAGGATCTCCTAAAGGGACCCCTTGAAGGGACCCCTTAAAGGGACCCCTTGAAGGGATCCCTTAAAGGACCCCTTAAAAACGGATTCCTGAAAGGATTCTTTCAAAGGATCCCTTAAAGGGACTACAGTATTTAAAGGGATTCCTGAAAGGATTCTTTCAAAGGATCCCTTTAAAGGATCCCTTAAAGGAACTGTTCCCTTCAAAGGATCCCTTAAAGGGATCCCCTTAAAGGGATCCCTTTAAAGGATCCCCTTAAAAGGATCCCTTAAACGACCCCTCAGAAGAGCCCTTAGGAACCCCTTAAAAGAACCCTTAAAGGGACCCCCAAAAACGGATCCCTTAAAGGACCCCCCCCCCTCCAGGGCCTTCTGCAGCAGAGAGAAGATCAGCGCCTGGATCTCGGGGCCTGGAAAGCACCGGAGCACCGGAGGCGCCCTTCAGGGCTTAGGGTTTAGGGTTGCTTAAGCTCTTTTAAAAGGGTACTTTATAGGGCTTCCTTTCAAGGATCTATAAGAGTTTTCTAAAGGGGTTTAGGGTTTAAGGTTTGCATTTCTCAGGGCTGCATAAGGGTATGAGGGTACATGGGAGTCCTTGCAAGGGTGTTTTGCAATCGGGGCACTTCTGAGGGTTCTTAACTGGTATGATGCAAAAGGTAAGAAATGGACGTGTAGGCCTTTGTCTCGCGGCGTTTCTCAGGGTTCTCTGCAGAAAGTGAGGAATCTACGGGTGACGCTTAGAAGGGTTTTGGGTTTAGGGTGTAAAAGTTTAAGGTTCAGAGGGCTGAGGGTTTGAGGGTTCCACGTTCACTCTCAAGGTCTGGAGTTGGGGCTTCAAGGTCGGCCTGGGTTGCATTGATGCCAGATCCGATGAGATCGGGGCAGTGTTCACGGGTTCAGGGTTTAGGTTCTAGGAGTCTCTGAAGGGTTAATTGGAGGTTCATGGCTAGCTATAAGTGGGGTTATAAGTAGGGTAACTATACCTAAAAACCCAAAAAAAGTGGACTTATAACCCCACTTACAACTACCCATGAACCTCCAAGTATGGCATGCTATGGATTTGGGAACCTTAAGTCCAAAGTGTATGTTATGTATATGCACAAAAGACCTTCACGGCGGCTTCCGGCTACGTTTTCTCATGACCCGACGGTTTCTGTATGGCTTCGACAACTATCATAACTTGTCTTGTATTAAAACGGTTGCTAGCATCAGGTTTGAGGTCGAGGGCTTGCGGTTTGGGGTTTTGGAGTTAAGGGATGTTTACTGGAAGGTTCATGGGTAGTTATAAGTGAGGTTATAAGTCCCCTAATATGGGTTATAAGTATAATTACCCTACTTATAACCCCACTTATAACTACCCATGAACCTCCAAGTAGGCCGATCGGTTTTCGCGCAGGTTCACAGTTTCGGGATTCAGGGCTTGGCATATATAGTCTAGGCAGCTGCACAAATCCCTACGCAGACCAGCCGACAATCGAGGCATGGGAATCAATTCTCGCAGACTCTGGGCGATCCGTTCATCTAGTTCTCTGTTCAGTTGGCTGTTGCTTCGAATGCATCGAGCACTCCTGTTAGCAGGCCCGATTGCCTCGACTTGGAGCAGCAAATCTCCATTTGACCTGATCGTCCAGCAGCAAACGCTCAACCTCGCTGTGGCCTCTCAGACGAGCCAGCATTCGGGCAGTGGAGCCGGCATTGTTGACAATGATCTTGTCGATGCCGAACTGCAGGAGTAGCTGCACAACAGCAACATGGCCCTGCGCAGAAGCGTGCATCAGAGCAGTGGAACCGGCATCACTTGCGAGGTTCGCGCGGGCACCGGACTCTAGCAGCAACCGCACGACCTCAATTTCGCCTGCAGAGCTTGCCAGCATCAGGGCGTTGGAGCCCCCGTGGCTTGACAAATTCACATCCGCGCCGGAGTTCAGCAGCAAACGCACGACAGCACTTTTGCCTGCTAAGGAAGCACACATCAAGGCAGAGCGGCCTCCTTTGCTTGAGAAGTTAACATTGGCACCGAAATCTAGGAGCAGATGTACAACACCAGCGTGGCCCCTTGCAGAAGCATACATCATGGCGGTAAACTTGGCAGCGTTGGCGAAATCTGTATTCAACTTCCGGGTCTTTGTGTCCTCCTCGCTCTCCAGGAGCATTCGCACAACATCAGCATGCCCACTTTCCGCAGCAACCATCAAGCAAGTGCGGCCGGCATCCTTGGCGGCGAAGCTCATGATGCTCTTGTCCGCGCCGGCATCCAGGAGCTTACCCACAATCTCAACATGGCCTTTTTGGGCAGCGGCAAACAGGGCAGTGGAGCCGTCCGGGCTGGCTTTGTTGGGGTCTGCTCTGGCATTCAGAAGTAAACGCAAGAGCTCAACGGCTCCTCTTGAAGACGCGAAAGTCAGGATGAAGCCGTTGAGCGCCAGGTTTACATCCTAGGTTTCTGAGTAACCCCTTTACAATAAGGCTACCCTTTTTCCTACTATTCGGTTTTAATAAGGGGACCCTAAACTAAAAAGGGCAAAAGGGCACTACTCAGGAACCTAACATCGGCACCGGCTTCCAACAGCAAGAACACGACGTCCGTGCGGTCACGGTCTGCCGCCAGCCCCAGTGCACTGTTGCCACGCGAGTCGACCAGGTTTGGATCTTGGGGTTTCTGCAGCTTGGCCTCGACCTGCGAACATTGCTTAAGTTTACGGTTTCGGAGTTTCGGAGTTTCGGAGTTTAGGGTTTAGGGTTTAGGGTTTAAGGCTTAGGGTGTATTATACAGTGTGAGCGCAGTCCCGCTCCAACCAGCCCAACTAGTCTCTCAATTAGGGTTTTGGGTTCACCCCCAGACTCTCCCTCAAGGGGGGTGGGGTTCTGGCGTTTTGCTTCCTCTCGCAGATCTACATAGAATGAGCGTTTCACAGCAAACCACAGCTGAGATGGATTGGCAAGGTTTCCACCAAACAACCGGCCCCTCACACCCTTTCAGGTCGTTCGAAGTGTAAACACCTATCCCTCAGGGAAAGCACCAAAAGGCCTCCAAAGACCGCCCAACATTCTCAAAGAGGGAATCAAGGGTCGTGGGTTTGGTCCGTCTTTACTGCTTGATGGAAGAGAGGTCACTAGCGGGGCGGCGTCACAACAGTCCTCGTCTACTGGGTTCTTGTTAAGGAACTTGGTTTAAGCTTCTATACTAGGATCTATAGCAAATAATAAGGTTTCCTTACTATGGCACCTTAAATTACATCCCTTAGCAAGAAGTCTACCGAGAGGCTTTACCCCCCCCTCACCGGTCTGACGAGACTCGGCCCGGAGCCTCGAAAGCCCAAGCAAAATGGTCTGCGGCGCTCTCGGCAGTTTAGGGTTTAGGGCTTAAGGTTTAAGGTTTAGGGTTTAGGGTCTAAGGTTTAAGGTTTAGGTTTTAGGGCTTAGGGTTTAGGGTGAGGGGGTAGGTGGGCTTAGGGAAGCTGCTCTCGGAAGTGGATGGGATAAGCCGACCTCGGACAAGGAGCCGTCCGCTGCGGCAGCCGCCAGCTTGTCTGCGTCAGTTTGCGATGACTGGACATATGGAATGAGAACCAGCTGAAGGTCCATGGGCGAGTCCAGCTTGACGAAGTCATCCAACACCCCATCCGAAACAGAGTTGAGATAAACCAGCCTTTGCCTGAATCGCGGAGGCAACCCGTGTTCGCTATGCAACAGAAGCTTTAGTGCCCTCACATCATCTACCTTCTCTGCAGGGATGCTCGCTAGCTCCTTACCCGACATGGCCGACCAAATGCGCAGCATTGGTCTGGATGCTTCGTCAATTCGTGCTGCCGCCCCAGACAAAGGAGAGCGAGGTGGAGAGAAGAGGCATCTGGACTGCTGCTTCGTTCACCTGAGCCCTGGCAACCAAGAGACGCTTCGTAATCGGGCCCCTAGATGACCCCAGTCGAAAGAGCCCCCTGTGTTAAAGAGAGCCTTCGAAACAGTCGCAACAAAACTTTACAGGAAATATCGTAATGAACCATCAAACCCCCAATCTTTGTGACTCGACTCCGTGAACTGTGAAGGCCCAGGCCGTTCCCTCATTTTCCCAGGTGTGCGAGACTCCTAATTACCAGTAATATGGGAGTTTCCGAAAATACGGGACCCTAAGATAGTACCCTAAATAGTAGGATCCTTGTAAAGGACCCCAGAAAGGGTACCCCCAATTTTCGGAAACTCCCGTTTAGACCGTGAGGGAGCAGGATTCGGGATGGTGGTTGAGAGTCTCTCGTTGAAGGTATACTTGGAGGATCATGGGACTTAGTAAGGTTCCTTAAAGGGCTCCGTAAAGGGATCTATAGGGTTCCTTACAGGGATCTACAGGGTTTAGCGTTTAGGGTCTACTTGGGAGGATCATGGGACTTAGTAAGTATGGTTATAAGTACCATCATTGGGGTTATAACTATAGTTACCTTAATAATACCCGTAATTACTGAGTCCCATGATCCTTTAAGTACGCTTTTTCAGGATTTACGCAGACTCCCAAGGCTCCCAAGGCATGCAAGAAGGACTGGATGCGAGTTTTGCGTAAGGACTCCAGAACGGCCCAGTGATGCTTTCACGAAGAACAAGCAATGACGAAGGTGCTGACAACCCTAAACCCTAGTCCCTAAACCCTAAACCCCCAAACCCCTAAACTCTAAAACCCTAAACAATGAGGTGTTCCCGCTTTGGGCTTCGGGGGTTCAGCAGTGTTATGAAAGCCAAGGTTCCCCTTGTGGGGTTGCGAAAGATCCCGATTATGGTAACTTAGACTAAGTTCCTTGACAAGAACCCAGGCGTCCCGGCTGTACTCCTCCGGCAGCGGCTTGGGGTCAGATGTACAAATCAGGAGCCTCAGTCGTGCGTTCTGAGTTACGAGGGCTTCAAAAGGGTTTAGGGTTTGAAAGGGTACTACAAGGCTTCCATTCAAGCATCTCTAAGGGTTCTCTGAAGGGGTTTAGGGCTTAGGAGTTTAGGAGTTTAGCGGTTAGGGTTTAGAGTTTTAGGGTTTAGGGTTTTTGTTTTCAAGTGGCTCATCAGAGCCCCCAGAACCCTCAAATGATCAAGAAACGCAGCAAGAAACATAATAAGAGCAATTTTACGTTCACAGTACAGGCAAGAAGAATCAAAGCAATGATGGCAACAACGGGGTTACGGCTTGGGGAAGGTGACCTCGGGCATCAAAATTCTTGGTGGGATAAACCTTACTCGAAAGGGTATAGAGTCGAAGGTGTAGCTTGCTTCAGCCAAAACCATACGCCGCGTAACTGTACTGAACTGAGACCCCCAGCAAAAATTACATGTTTAGCTGCTTCTTAGCGATTATTGGAACCAGAAGTTCGAACTTATTTCTACGTACCACTGAGATAAAGCCTACATCTAACACATTAAACCCTGGAACCGTAAATCGAAACATAAAGTTTATGCATCTTTCGACCTACTGGATGGCCAGGTGCGATGCGATCGTTCAGTGGATGATCGACACTCGTTCGATAAGGTTTGAAGAGCGATCGTCGCTGAAAAAACTTCATGTCGCTCAGAATGGAAGGCTCTACATATCACCTTTCGACTGCTATAGAAGGGCAATGGAAGTTCCCAGTTGCGGCCAGTAGCCTTGATCTTGGAGCTTCCGAGAAGAAAGACAAAGGACCCTAGAGCAAAGAACCCCGCACTGTAGAATCCTTATGATAAGGCTCCTCTTTCTGAATTTCCAGATCGTGGTAGGTAGATTCAAGGAAATCCCGGTCAAGGACAACCTTACTTGGAGGTTCACAGGTAGCGTTAAGTGGTTCAGAGTTCAGGAAGTGAGGTTGTCACTCCCCTCATATGGGTCAGAACTGGTGTTGCCCTTCTTGTCACCCCCGAGTCGACCCCGAAATCCGAAAGATGAACCTTAAACCAAAGGATTTAGGGTTGAAGGCTTCGGGATTTCGAGGTTTTGTGCACACTCCTGAACCCTAAAAAACCCTCACTAAAGCCCAAGTCGCAACGCCTGAAGAAACGCTGATGTCAACACACACACACACACACACATATATATATATATATATATATATATATATACATACGTTTATACATACGTATGTATATATATATATATACATATATGACCTAATCAAACGGCCCAAAAGATGGGATAAAGGTGGACGTGATGATCCCGAGTAAGAGCCCATATCGGGATCCTCATCCTACATACTGTAGGGGCCTTAATGATTAGAACAGGGTCTTGGCGTATGTTATACTATAATTAGAATAAGGAACCCCCAAAACCCTACAGCATTGGAATGATTAAGGCCCTGTACTATTTCCTTGTAGTAGCCCTTTCAAGGAGCCGTTCCAGGGAACCCTACTCTACTTATGAAGGCCCCTACACGAAAGAATCCTATCATAGATCCCTTCTAGAGCCCTTTAAAGGAGCCCTTTAAAGGAGACCTTTCAAGGAGACCTTTCAAGGAACCCAACTTGGGTACTGCCCCCCATCCACTAATGCTAGTATTAAGGTCCTAATATATCTATATTATGAAAATTATCCAGCTGTTACTGAGTGGGGGCATGCGCAGTACCCAAATTCTAGCTATTCGGGCCCGTTATACTGTAATTGTTTAATCAGGAACCCTAAGAATAATGATGGTTATTTTTCAAGACCCTATATTACTCAAACTATTAAGGCCATTACATTACCTTGATCCCACCTCCTGAATTCTTTGGTCCGAGTTGCGCCATGGCAGGGAGATTTGAGGCGGAGAAAGGCACCTCTCAAGGAGGGGTTTGGGTTTTGGGTTTAGGGACGACTTAGGGTTTTGCGTAATAAGGTTTTTGTTGAGCTCCTTTTGACGTCCGCCCAACCATCTGAGCTAACATAGTTTACGGGTTTAGGGTTTAGAGTTTAGGGTTTTAGGGCTTGCGACTTTAATGGTGTCACGGGGCGAAGGTTCATAAAGGCTTCGAAAACGTGGGCTTTCAGGTTTCAGTTTTAGGGTTTTGTGGGTGGGATTCAGGTCTTAGAATCGAAGGGTTCAGGGCCGCCAAGAGGGTCTTGCATTCTCTATACGGGCTTCGTGAAGGTGCTGTACAAGCTACAGGCTTTGGTGTTGGCAGTTTAGGGGTTAAGCCGGGCATGTCGGGAACAGCAGAAAAGGGAGGTTTCGCACTCAGGACAGTGGGTGCTTTCTTGGAAGGGCCTTTCCCTCTTTCTCTCGGCCTGACACTGTCAGAGCTCGCACCCCAAGATCCGAATCCGAGCGATGGTTAGGGGATGTTAGGAGCATGTCTGATATCGCCATTGCCGTCAGGACTTTGATAACGCTGATGTTGCAAATCGAGATATGCAAAGCTAGTGATATCGAGCAAACAGCCCTTCTGGAGATCTCACTTGCGGAGCAACCTGCTTCGCACCTAGGGCACTGCTGCAACAAAACTTGAACCCCACCCCCAAAACCCTAACCCAAAGCCCAGCCCTTAAAAACCCAAACCCCGAACCCGCCACCTTCAGGCACACCATCTCGTACCATGCGACACCCAGCGACCATACGTCCGCCTGATCCGGGAGTCTTATCGTCATGAAATTGATAGATATATAAATATACATATAAATATGAATATTAATTTATACATATCTATATATATATATATGTATATATATATATATACATAGTATAAATATGTGTGTGTATATATTTATAAAGGGAGTACTGACCGGAATAGGGTCTCCATGCGAAGGGCGATTCCAGGGCCAGCGAGAAGCCCACACCCTGAACCCTAAGCCCCTAAACCCCTAAACCCTAAACCCTGAACCCTAAACCCGAGACCCTAAAACCCTGAAACCTAAACCCTAAACCCCTGAACCCTAAACCCTGAGCCGTAAACTCATATATACTGGGTTCGGGTTTAGCTTATGGGTTACTTACGCGTGAGGACTATTTTGTGTTTTTTGAGCTCCTTTTCTATGGGTTAGGATTTAGAGGTTAGGGTTTAGGATGTACGAGAAGGAGACTTGAGACAGGTCTACAGGACACCTGCTTCCGCATGCCATACTTCCATCACGCTGCATTCATTCTGGCTTCAGTTGATGACGAAGTTGCTTAGGGTTTAGGGTTTAGAGCCCAGGTTCGAACTGATATTCCACAGGTCAAGCAGTTTCCAGCCACTACTTCTGAACCGCCCTGAAGAGCAAACACACCCTGCTGCTGCCATGGACTTCGATGTAACTCTTTTCTCAGACTCTGTCCTGTCCCTGCGTGCAGAAGAAGTAGCTCGATCATGGACTTTCTGCCTTTGTCTGAACAAGACACGAGTTACTGTAGGGGCCTTAATAATTACCTATAGTATTTGGGGTTCATTATATATTTATAGTATAATGGGCCCCGACACCCTATTCTCATTATGAAGGCCCCTATACTACTTGCAATCGGATGCGTGCTCCCAGCACCCCACTTGCAGGATCATGGGACTTAGAAAGTATGGTTATAAGTACCTTAATTGGGGTTATAAGTATAGTTACCTTAATTATAACCGTAGTTACTAAGTCCCATGATCCTTTAAGCAACCCCTCCAGCACACCCAAGAGCCTCCTTTGCAACGGGATACGTGACTTAAACGCTGAATAGCCGACGGGAGGGAACATAAAACTGTGCTCTGTCAGGCTCATGTTCTTGCAGGCGTGAAGTCCACCCGGAAATCAGAAACGTGTTTCCGGGCTTAGGAGTTTAGGGCGTTTAGGGGTTTAGGGGTCTAGGGTTTAGGGTTTCAGGGATCTGCAACTTCCATTGCGCTGCTAA